GTCAATTGTCACTGCTTCTACTGCAACTGATTTGGTCAGTATCTCTTACAACATCTCTGTTTCTACCCTTACTTCAGTGTCTATTCCCATAACAGCAGCAAGAATGACTTAGTCAAAGGAGATGCTATGAAAAACGCCTTATATTGGGTAGTTTAGGTAGCAAATTTTTGCTCATCACAGTTCTAGAGAACAGGAACTTCAAGACCTAGGTGCCAACAGATCCGGTGTTTTAGAGAACGCTTGATTTCTGGTTTGTAGACAACTAGCTTCCTCTGTATTCTCACGGCAACAAGCAAAGAGATAGGAAACAAATTCTTTCATATCTCTTCTAATCCTTATAATTCCATGAATCACATCACAAGGCTCCAACTTTATAACCTAATTACCTGTGCACAATGACATCTCATTGGATATTGAACTTTCAAAGTATGAATTTGGAGGGACTGAAAACATTCTTTATATATGGAGCAGTGGCTCTTTTATCTTGATTCTTCGAACTTGATCATATCTTTCCTCTGTAAAAATCTGAGGTAGCCTCTTTTATTTCGGGCAGGGAGGGTGAGCTATTTCTTGGGCAGGGAGGCAGAAAGATGGAATCTCAAGCATGGTACCCAAGGCCTTTCAATACCTGTAACAAGAAATGCTGACTTCATCTCTAACTACTCTCCCACTTTCGTTATGCTAACTACCTGGCCTCCTTGCTGTTCATTGCAGATGCGCTCTGCTTCTCACCTTTGCGTCTTTACACTGGCTATTCCATACATATCTAAGTTTAAACTCTACCTTCTTCAAAGATTTGTTCAAGCAATTTCTTAAGGGTCCCAATCATCCTAATTAAACTGTAATCCACTTCTTTCCTTTACTCCCAATCTTCCTCACATGTTTTTCCTTTTTATTCCCCTGCAGTACCTATGTATTCGCATACTATTCATTTATTTCCTTCATTGTCAAATCCTGTTTGAATATAAGCTTCACTGGATTGCAGACTTTGATTCCTACATGATATATTCCAATTGTCTGGCACAGTGTTGATAATATAATGTGTATTCAAACTACATGTTTATTAAATAGGTAAAATCTTTGAAGCTAACTACAGTTAAGACATCAGTGCATCCTTTTCAGGCTGATATTCTATGCTTATATTTGTAATGTAGCTTCATTTTTCACTAAAATTTACTATTATATCCTGAGAGTTCATTTGTTTAGAAAATTCAAACAAAACAGGCTTAGCTATTTAAAATACCACAAGTGCAACAAAAAAGTCTCTAGATAGGTGACATTACATTTCAAAATTTTATAAACCGTTAAGGCTCTAGGTACATGAAGTACATGAAGGAAATTTAACTTGGCGTGTAACTTATGGTTTGTGGTATTAAGTGCAAAATAAGTTACTAAATCCATAAGCATAACTTTTCTTCTATTGAAAGAGTTAAGGTGGATACATTTTAAAAAGGCTATCAGCAAATTTGTAAACCCCTTGAGAATATAAGCTTTTTTGGGGGAGGGAGGAGGTGAATTTCTACAGGATCAAATGTGCAGGGTAGCTTAGAAAGCTTAGAATTCTCTATTTTATTTTTGGAATTCTCAACTAGTCTCATAGATAATCGTCCCTCTTCACATACTTCATTACACTGAACCAGGACAGACCGTTTAAAGGACCAGTCCCAAGGCGAGGATCATACAGGCTGCCTCCAAGCCAACAATAATCCAAGACTAGCTGCTGATTACCCTTAAGTAGGATATCAGAGTCAGTATTCAGTGTTATCATTTTAGTAATAAGACCCAGATGTAAACATGAATTGAGAGCTATGAAGATAAGATCCAGAGGTACAACATGATGAAAATGCCTGAAAACTAAAGGCCAAGTGACTCACACAGCAGAGAATCCAAGGTTCGTCCTAGGAAAAACACAGTGAGGTATTAAAACCACCATCCGCTCCTCTGTTACTTCTGTGACTGGAAATGAGGCAAAGATACCAGAAACACAATTAAAAGGTTCTCTATTCATTCTACCATGGCTCCCTGCAGCTGTCAGGCACAACAAGTGTCCATTAGATTTAATGGACAAGAAGGGAGAATAAGAAGGAAAAATCAGAGTAAGGTAATAGCAGCGTCCCTTTAGTATTTCTTGAGAGATACAGATTGTATTTACTGATAAAGATTTGGGATATTTAATGATAAAGATTCAGGGTTGGACTTGGGCACTGTGACAAAGGGAACATTCTAAAGCACATTTCCATGTGACATTTAAATGAAGATCACCTGTTTATCATCTATGTTTTCCTATTAGCTGGTGTCTTGTCATTTCACACAAATCCCTTAGGAATGCTTTCTACAAAATGGTTGCACATCTCTCCAAAGAAGTATACATGGCTCATATCCTCATACAGAAAACATTAATATTACAAAATCAGTTTCTACTATTCCCACTGTATTTGTAATTCCCATGAAATGAATGTATTCAATAAATATTCATTGAGCATCACTAATGTGCCAAGTGCTATTGTATGTATTAAGGAAATTGAAACAAACAAAACATTGACTTTGTACGTTTTTGCATATGCTCCTCATACTAAAAACAATTTTTTTTTAAATTTTAAATCAATCCTTTACTCGTTCATACATTTTCTCCCATTTATCCAAATTGTGACCATGGGGCGAAACTGGGAAATCTTTACACGCACCCATAGCATGTCAAATTTGGGGAGGACTACTTGCCCTATTAATAACATAATGCTGAAAGAATCAGTGCTTTTATTGGACTGATATGTGGGATTCCTTGTGATTATAATAACTAACCTTTACCAAGTTTCTCTTCTTGGAGAATATGAAAGTACTGCAGGTTTTCCACAGCCAATCCACCTAACAAACATTAACAAGGAAAACTTCTTAAGGGTTATTATCAATATTTCATCAAAACGGCTATAATAAGGGCTAGATATTACCATGGTCTGCTTTGTGAAATGGGTTAATAATTATTAATTATAGCCCATAAAGCCAAAAGATTCAGTTGAGATGATGTAAACAAAGGGAGGTTTTTTTCATTCAAAAAGGCAAGACTTTGTAAATCTCAGAAAATCACTTTACACACAAAAAAAGTTCAATAGTTCTCTGAGTTTATGGAAGTAGAGTTAAATTCAATATGAAATAATGTTCAGCACCAGTATGATATCATAAAGTTAATGTCGTTCAGAAAGTAAATACAAACTTCTGTGCCACATGCTAAGGTCTTTACAGATATTAAAACGACAATTTTTAAAAAGATTTATTTATTTTTATTGGAAGGTCAGATTTACAGAGAGAAAGAAAGATAAAGATCTTTCATCCACTGGCTCATTCCCCAAGTGGTTACAATAGCCTGAGCTGAGCCCATCCAAAGCTAGGAGCCAGGAGTTTCTTGTTCTCCTACACAGGTGCAGGGTCCCAAGGCTTTGGGTCATGCTTTACTGCTCTCCCAGCCCATAAGCAGGGATATGGATGGAAACAGAGTGGGCAGGACACAAACCAATGCCCATATGGCATGCCAGCGCTTGCAAGGTGAGGATTTACCTACTGTGCCATCACACTGAACCCAGGATCCGGGTTTTGAAAATAAATGGCTTTAGGCCACAAGTAGGGAGCTGGAAGGGAAGTGGAGCAGCGGCAATACAAACCAGCGCCCATATGCGATCTTGGCACATGCAAGGCGAGGATTTTAGCCACTAGGCTACCGCACCAGGCCCTAAGATGACAATTTTTAAAAAATGTTTCTAGGAAGCACATTTTTATTATCATACCCATTGTATAGGTGATAAAGCTGAGGCATGGAGTAGCTAAGTTAAGTGGCTAAGGTTATTTAGCTGGTAAATTAGAGTAAGGATTTGGATTTAGGTGCTATCCTCTGGTTTCCTAATTATCAGGCCCATGTATTTCTCCTGAGTTTTTATGATCCTCTCAGAGCCTCACACTGATGAAGTATACACAATCCTATTCCTAGTCCAGGAAAGAAAAAAATGTTAATTACAGCTTTCCTATCACAATGTCTTAATTAGCCTAATTCTCACTCAACTGATTTTTAAAAGAAGATAACAATGCAAATGAATAGAATCACCTGGCAGGTTCAAGCACGGGAGAAACCAGGCTGGATCTCAGCACTACCCTGACTGATGCTTGAATGACCTTTTGCAAATGACTCCTTCAACACCTAGTTTCCCCACTTGTAAAATGGATGCTATAATTACAGCATTGTGTAAGGACAAAGCAAGAAGGCCACAGACAATGCTCCACAAATAGTATGTATGTAGCACATGCATAATGTCATATATAATAAGTAGGAGTAGCATCAATTAAACTATGAACCAAATGATCTCTTGATTCTTGGCACTAGAAAAGGAGTTCTCTTCTATTTTTTTTTTATGACAGTATACAAAACAATGAACCAAATTATAAGTCATAAAATTCATTACATTTTTCCTGCGGAAGCCAGAAAGGCGATTGAAGCTATTGGTCGATATGCTATTAGTTATCCTCCCTATTCCAAAATGTATGTATTCTTGCATCTTGAGACACCTTGCATAAAATAATCACCGTGACTCCAAGAGGTCAAATGACCAAGCAGTTAATGCTTCTCTGAGAAGTGCTCAATAATTCATTTTACAAATTTCAGTTTGAAGACGACATTGAGGTTAAGAAAAATTGACATTTGGTCTGTGAACTTAATGTCAAGCTCCAGAAAAACTCCGGGCAGCACATGTTTAGCAATTAATAGGGCGCAGACAGTAAAGATGCTGCCAAATTATAAAACAAGTCTTGGAGATGACCAAAACAAACAAACAAAAAATGCTGCTAGGTATTGATTATGGTGACCATTCAGTTCCTATTGAGCTACCGAAAGAATCATTCATTTTCCAGCAGAGCCAGCTCATTTGCAAGATAAAAGAGAGGCATTTCTGCACATGCCCATAATGTTCTTCACCACTGGGGGCAGCTTTACATAAGACTGCATTCACTGAAACCAAAGCAACAGTCCGAGCAGCTTTCAGAATGACAGTCTGCAGAAGTGAGCTGAGCGTGTGCGCGGTACGAGGCTCTCCTGTCTTCTGGGCTCCAACGCAGCGCTGTGGCTGAACTGGGTGCTCACCACAGGAACAGCTGGGCTATGGAATACACATGTGGCCGCTCAGGTAGCCCCACGTTGCCTGAAGGAATACATCATGCTTTCTGATAAGAAGAAATTATAGAAGACAGTTTTTTTTAAGCCCTCATCTCCACCCCCCCTCAAAAAAACCTGTAAAGATGCAAAAACGTAATATCCACGAAGATCCTATTACCTAGGAAGATTTTGATATTTTGCTACAAATGCGGTATTGGGATTTATTTGTTCTTGGAGTGTTCTGCGTGGCTGGCAAAGAATAATGTTCCAAAACCGGTCCATCTCCCAAGGGGTCCAATTTTTCTTCCTGGGTGTCAGTGAGCCCTGACTCACTACAGTGCAGCTGACAGGGGCTGTCATGCAAGTGGCCCCCTAAGCCAAAGCAAAAGACTTAAGGACGACCTTTGAACAATACAAAGGATGGGTATGTTTTGTCATTTTTTTTCTTTTCTTCTTAAAAAAAAATAACCTCTAGTGTATGTAATAATTCTGCCTTAATTATTTTAGAGATTACCTTGCTTTGCTCTAAGATTATAAATTCAATTGCTTAGTAGACATGTCTTCTTGATTAACAATTTTAAAAAATGTAAAAGCAATCCTCTTTAAATTAAACAAGGAGATATTTGCTGTTGAACCTTCTTATCTAGATTTAAATTCTTAAATATGAATCTATATGCCTATTTCTGTTTGATTATAAATGAATTCTTTTTTGGGGGGATAACTTTTCTGAGTTGTTTTTATTTCCAGGTTTCAATGTAATTAGGCTACTGAGCGGATCAGCTGTAGCACTGGTTATAGCCCCCACTGTCTTACTGACAATGCTGTCTTCTGCTGAACGAGGATGCCCTAAGGGCTGTAGGTGTGAAGGCAAAATGGTTTATTGTGAATCTCAGAAATTACAGGAGATACCCTCAAGTATATCTGCTGGTTGCTTAGGCTTATCCCTTCGCTATAACAGCCTTCAAAAACTTAAGTATAATCAATTTAAAGGGCTCAACCAGCTCACCTGGCTGTATCTTGACCATAACCATATCAGCAATATTGATGAAAATGCTTTTAATGGAATACGCAGACTCAAAGAGTTGATTCTGAGTTCCAATAGAATCTCCTATTTTCTTAACAATACCTTCAGACCTGTAACAAATTTACGGAACTTGGATCTGTCCTATAATCAGCTGCATTCTCTGGGTTCTGAACAGTTTCGGGGCTTGCGGAAGCTGCTGAGTTTACATTTACGGTCCAACTCCCTGAGAACCATCCCTGTACGAATATTTCAAGACTGCCGCAACCTGGAACTTTTGGACCTGGGATATAACAGGATCCGAAGTTTAGCCAGGAATGTTTTTGCTGGCATGATCAGACTCAAAGAACTTCATCTGGAGCACAATCAATTTTCCAAGCTCAACCTGGCCCTTTTTCCAAGGTTGGTGAGCCTTCAGAACCTTTATTTGCAGTGGAATAAAATCAGTGTCATAGGACAGACCATGTCCTGGACCTGGAGTTCATTACAAAGGCTTGACTTATCAGGCAATGAGATCGAGGCTTTCAGTGGACCCAGTGTTTTCCAGTGTGTCCCGAATCTGCAGCGCCTCAACCTGGATTCTAACAAGCTCACATTTATTGGTCAAGAGATTCTGGATTCTTGGATATCCCTCAATGACATCAGTCTTGCTGGGAATATATGGGAATGCAGCAGAAATATTTGTTCCCTGGTAAACTGGCTGAAAAGTTTTAAAGGTCTGAGGGAGAATACAATTATCTGTGCCAGTCCCAAAGAACTACAAGGAGTAAACGTGATTGATGCAGTGAAGAACTACAGCATCTGTGGCAAAAGTACCACGGAGAGGTTGGATCTGGCCAGGGCTCTCCCAAAGCCAACATTTAAGCCCAAGCTCCCCAGGCCGAAACATGAGAGCAAACCTCCTCTCCCCCCCACGGTGGGAGCGACGGAGCCAGGCCCAGAGAGCGATGCCGACACGGAGCATATCTCTTTCCATAAAATCATCGCAGGCAGCGTGGCCCTTTTCCTGTCCGTGCTCGTCATCCTGCTTGTTATCTACGTGTCATGGAAGCGGTACCCTGCGAGCATGAAGCAGCTGCAGCAGCGCTCCCTCATGCGAAGGCACAGGAAAAAGAAAAGACAGTCACTAAAGCAAATGACTCCCAGCACCCAGGAATTTTACGTAGATTATAAACCCACCAACACGGAGACCAGCGAGATGCTGCTGAATGGGACAGGACCCTGCACCTATAACAAATCAGGCTCCAGGGAGTGTGAGGTATGAACCATTGTGATAAAAATTGCTCTTAAACGCTGGGAAATAAGTGGTCTTTAATGAACTCTGCTGACTATAGAGGGAACGTGGTGCTCCCCCCCTGTCTCACTTTGCTTTCTGGCAAGGTTCTTTTCTGTCTTAGAGCATTCGTAATGCTGGTCATTTTCCCTTCATACGTAATCAACCCATTGAAATTTAAATACCACAATTAATGTGAGGCTTGAACTCTGATTTAAAATAATGCCTATTGTATATGACCTTCTATTGATTCCGTTAATGTCTCATGTCTTTTAAGATAAAACTTCTTTCCTAAGCAACACCCACATGTGCTGTTACTCTTGGTAACATCAAAGGCTTGGAGCTCATAGGCAATTGAAGGAAAGGGGTGTGATGAACCCAGATAATCAGAGGTTGAACTGATTCAAGGGGATAGCTTGATTATAGGAACATTATGGAAAGAACCTTGAAAGTAATGCTGGATTTAGAAACAATTTGTAGCAAACTATCAAAAGACCACACTGGGTTAAAGCAGCACTGTTGGCAGAGGTGTCTGAATTACAGAAAGCCAAGGACAGGGAGGAACTGTTACAGGGTTAAAATACTGCAAAAGTAGATGGTTATAAAATGTGAGCATGTTAAAAATACAAAGTTTTACACTTGAAGCTTGTCTCAGATCCATGCATGATAAATCAGACTTGAGGTTTCACTGTCACTTTCTTCTAGCCCGTATGTTTCCCAGATAATTAAATAGCCAAGAGGCAAATTTAGGGAGGTGGATTTCTCCACTGCTCCTTCCATGGGGAGTGTTTACAGATACAGTTACAGATGTGAGTGCAGCTTGCCTAACCCATGTGGCTGGGAGCTTAGCTGCGGCTCCCTCACAGTTTTTTTGTTAGTGAAACATTGTTAGTGGAATCATGAGCTCTATCCTGTTCAATTCAGTATTTGTCAGACTGTCCTATCATGTTCCATGATGGGCCCTGCACACAATAGTATCTCACTAACACTTCCTTTCAGATGTGTAAAGAGAACACATATCAAGACATGCTTTCTACCAACAGTCTCACTGGAAAGATGACTTCAAAAACACCTTAGTATACAGAATCTTACAGAAAAAAGCACCACCAACACGACAAAAACAATTTTTCCTTTTGGTACTGCTGACATGACCGTGTCCCTGTGCTCATCTGTATTGTGCACACATCCATCAGCACAATTCTGTATAGACCCTGTTGGCAATCCGTAAGCTGTATGCATGTTTTTATGTCACTGGTGAAAGTTTATTGACTGCAGCAAAAATATAGGCTCTGTTTTTAAGTAACTTGAACCATAGTCTATTAAGCTTTTAGAGAAATATCTATAATCTGTATTATCTTTCACCTCCATAATGAACAGTTCTATTATATGAGGGGAAAAAAAACAACAACTCAGGAATTGCAACATTGGGGCCTCATTTAATGTGTTTCCTTTAATGTGGCTTGCCAACTCCTACATCTTTAACCATGTCTCTATTCTTTCAAATAGAGTCACTGCAGTAAAAAAGAAAATGAGTATTTTTACCAGTATTTTTATATAGTTTGGAGAAGTATCACATGTTTTAAAAATTTAGGCAAGTCACCATGAAATAGAATAGCAAGGAAGTCAGATAATTAAAATAATACCCCTGTAAGCAATGAAAAAAATGGAAATATGTAAAATGGATTAAATGTTAAAATAGATATCAGTGCAGTGCAGAAAAGCATTGCAGCTATATGTTTACTCATAAATGATTACTGAATATATACTTATTAATGGCAAACAACCACATATTTATAATTCATTAGTAATCCAAATACTTCCTTACAGTACTATCAACTGGATGACTGAGCCTACTGTGATATTTTTCACTGAAGTTGTAATTTAAATTTTTACATAAATGTCAGTAAATACATATTCCATCTAGAAAAAAGACCCTGGTCAGCCTAATTTTTATCATACTAAGATGAATGTATTACCTAAGTTCAGTGTTAAGGTTTAAAAAAAACCCTACTTCTATTTATTGACTTGATATTCTACCTTATTTTCCTGGATACCATATATATTTAGACATTACATATTTAAGCTTAGATTTTCAATTCTGATTCCATGGCACTACCATTATATATAAAATATATTTGCTGAATAGAAAGTATTTCTAAAATTGGAGCCACTTGTAGTGGAACATATTAATGACTATGGCCAAATAGACAACCAATATTTTGTAAGCCTAACTTCTTATACATTTAATAATAGATGAAAAAACTGGTTTTGATCCCATAAGTTCTTTTCTTTCTCTCCCCTCACCCCCACTCCCACTTCCATCCTCACCTCTCACCCCACTCCTGCCCTTTGGGAGATGTTGCCACTATCCTCTGAGCACAGCAATGTAACACTTACAGGTTAGATAATAACACATCACCATTGTAAATTATCAAATCCAACTGACAAATGCTATCTTGGTAAAGACTTTTGCCCTAACCTACACCTCCATGGCACTTTCTGGAATAAATACCATAAATATATTTTCCTATGTACTTCTAACTCAGTGTAGACTAGGGAAATCTTATTGGTATTCAGTGTTTTAGGGCAAATATACATGAAATTTCATCTTCTTCAAAGGTGACAGCAGTTAAAGAATTAGCCTGACCTGTTGAACCAGAAGGCAGAAACACACTGTTGCAGAATGGATTCAGTCAGTACTCTGGACGCTTTATTATAACAGAGAAGAAAGGGAGCTTAGTCTCTCTGAGCTGCGTGTGTGGATTCTCTCCCTCACCCCAACTCATTTTATTAGTCTCAGTAAGCCTTGTGCTACCACAGCATAGACTGAATAGCTTCAGTGCCGTGGTTTTCTAAGCAACACTTATTCAAGATATTTTTACTTTAAGTAAGTTTGTGTTTCCAAGGATGTTGACATTATACCTTTTCATAGGATTTAAGTCGTTTTTTGCTTGATTTCGTGAGTCAACTACCCAGGTAGGCCAACTGGCAATAAACTGTATTTCTGTGGAGCGGCAGTGACCTCCAGTGGCTGGTTAGACTAACCACAGTTACTCGGCTATTGTAGGTTTTTATGCTGAATCCTTATGTAAAGGTACTTAACAGGTGTGTTGTTGTTGATCTGTACATCAGATTTGAATTTTACTTAGTTTCTTTCTCTGGGAAACATATTTGTTATGTGCTTTTTCAAAGTTTTATTTTTCATAATGACTTTTTAGTAACATCAGAACAGAAGCCATAGAATTACCAGCAAGGATGAGAAATGTGTTCAAAACATGAAACACACACAATGCAGTAAGAACAGATAAGACAATTTTAAAGGGTTGATACAAACAGATATTTGCCAAATATTCTAAGTTTTTTAATTAACTATCTGAACACTTTCATAGGTAGATGCTAAAATATAACATAATTTAGATTGGGAAATCAAATTTCAATACATAAATATTGAAAGAAAAAGCATCAATTATATACTAATCAGTAGGGATATAGGATCCATCAGGGGGAAGGAGGCTCTTATTGTGGTTCCATCTAGCTTGCTGATCGCGCCAGTGACCTGTGCTTTGCCTCAGTGCTTACTTCCTCCTTCCCCCTTTCCAGCTAGCTGAACACTGGTTCTATTAGGCTCTCTGACAATGATGTTACAGTCTAAGAGGTGATGATTCATGGATACTGAAGTTATGCCCTCCTTCTGAAAAAGGATAATGCAGAGTCAGATTCATGGATTTGGAATGGATTTGGCTTTTAGAATGCTGTAGGTATATGATACATCTTTTCCTCCCTGGACATTTACCAAGATGAAGACTCAAAAAAAGATTTTTTTTTTAAAGTGTGGATTAAACTAGCATCATAAACAAGCATTAGAATAGGAATCCTAAGGTAAAATGAGTTCCAGACTTAACAAATGAGAAATAAATAATTCAGGAATTACATGATTCTTCTATCCCTTTTTTCCCTGGTTCTCATTAGAATCTACATCTGTAGCACATCCATGGAGTTTTCCATTCTTGTAGTCTCTTGGCTAGCTACATAAAAATTAGAGGCAGTTAGGAGAAACTATGGGCAAGAAAAGAACAACAGTGCAGGTGAATGACAAAAGTAAGTTAAACAGAATAGAATGAATGAAAGTTAAACAGCTTATGTAACTGGCTTTTGTAAAGATAGGGCAAAATGTACAAGTCAAAGTGACTATTTCTCAAATTATTACAGCATACGGAATTGGATTAAATTTTTCCTAAAGCTCCAAAGTCACTGGTGATTTTGACTCATAAGGTAGAATACAACAAAAACACTACAGAAAATAAAATTATTTGTAATTTTTTCTCATTTGTGGAAAGTACCATAATCATACAAGGTAGAGTATGGGACTTATACATTAACACATTAATTCTGGATTCTCTAACATTTGAAAATCAAGTGTTTTCAAGACAATTTCTGTGCTTTTATGAACTGTAACTTTCTCAAATATAAAACATATACATGCTATTGCTTGCTCATTATTATTAGGAGGACTAAATATGAATCGCACTTTGTAAACTCTAAAGAGGAAACTATCCACTATTTTCAAAGATCACCCAGTGTTTCTGGCTATGTGTGCTTGGACCAGGTTAAAAAAATTGAGTCTATGTTACAGAAGTGCAAATTCATTTACATCACTACGAACACAGAATTTACTTTTGACTTCTCATTTCCATACATATCTAGTTCTTCCACTCTCTTTGGCCTAAGTCTGGGATTTTTTTCAATAATGATGAAAAGTGTACAACACACATAAAGATACCAAGCAGAGAATACAGAACCCCAAACTTAGCAAACTAAAACCAAGATTTTAGGTGTGCTTAAATCAGGTGAGTACAGCACAGACTTCGAAGTATTGTGGAAGTCTATTTATCTATCTCTCTCCCAGATCCCTGATTGCAGCCCTTGTTGCCTTCAAACTATATAATGATAATAGTTACATGTAAAGATGACATCATCATTAAGCC